AAAAAAGAGCCTATGCTCTCTCTCTATCTGTCCACACACACTAGATTTATGGTTGGCCGTATTGTGGCATGTCACTGTTGTCCTAGAGCTCACCTGTAGACCTTAGCATCTGCTGTAAGGATGACTCAGAGCTCAGCAGGGTTGCTCTGGCTGCAGGCACACTGCTGATCACTCGCTGGATCCAAGACACAAAGCAAATAATAGCTTCCTGTGTGTGCGAGACAAACTTTGCATTTCCTTATCTAAAAAAAAAAGGAAAATAAATAAAATGATTGGTTTCACTAAAGCCTGTGTATCTAATGCTTTTTAAGCATAATTTTGCATTTTCAAAAGTGATTAATAAGGCACATTAGAATGGATTTTTTTGTTTCATAAAGCATTTTTTGTGCAACCAAAGCTGTACATTAAAATGCTTCCCTATATATTGTTGCACATTTAAGGAGTGTGATTTGTTATATATTGTGTTATAATGCCATCTGTACATGAGTAATGTAATACAGAATTTACCAACTTAATCTTTTTGTAAGGCCACAGTCAGATACTAATTTAATTAAGTAGTAAATTATTAGCTGACTGTGGTCTTACAAAAAGATACAATTTATTTTATTAAGTTAGATTTTTGGGCCTTTGTAGTAAAACATCCAAAAATCAAACTTAATTGAGTGCCTTGGGCCAAAAAGTAAATGCTGCATTATATCCATTTTTTTTCCAAGAAAAAAAATCCTTTAAAAGTATAACCATGAAAATCTAAATGTTTCCATATTTCACACAGTGCATTTTGGTGGCTTGTTTCTGCTGTGTTAGGTGTTAAGACAGTGGATGTTTTTTTCCCTCACTGGCTACATGTTGATAAAAAAAAAAACTAACAAATCACAATGATTGTATTTCTACATAGGGCAAGAAATCTAAAATGTGGTTTTATCTAGTGTTGTTTATTTGTTATTGTTCTTAACTTTAACACATACAACATATATTATAAGGTTTCATACCAAATACCTTTAACACGTTTAGCATACAGGCTTAAATGAAACTTTTACCACAAATTATTCTCTGAAACTGCAGAAATGCACCCTAAGAAATGCATTTGGTGCCATATGAACCTGAGACCAGCCTACTTATTCAGAACTTCCTTGAGATTAGTTGACTAATCATTCAAGCAACCCACTTGGTACTCAATCTTACATATATTTAATTTTGAATGTCGCTAGTTACATCTACCTGGCAGATGACTGAAGCTCATTTGTTGCAGGTAGCTCTTTCTCTCCCATTCTGCCATGTGGCTGTCAGTCTGAAGCCTCAGCTTTCAGTCACTCTGCTTTCAAGAGGCTTTATTAGACTGACTTTTTGGGGTTAGACTGTGTCATGATCCCCAACAGTGCTCTGTCTGTATGGATTTTTGTTGATCCTTTGAGTCTCACTGTGAGCTGAAATAGACCTTTTACACAATGAGCAGAGCCCTCAGAGACAGTCTGTCATCTCCAGCAGACAGTCTTCCTTTTTTTATTTATTATTTCTCTCTCACTGTCTCTCTCTCTCTTACTCTTCATAACGTCAGGCATGGTAGAAAATCAGTCTTTCCTTGACTCTTTCCAGTATCACTTGTGTGCGCTTGTTTAAATTCTTCGATAAGCAACTCTTCTCAGTCTTTCTCTCTCTTTCTTTTTCTGTCTTGCTCATTTTTTCCATCGCTTGTTCGTAAGTAATGAAACACAAGTTAGGGCCAGCCTCAGATGAAGGTAATGAATGAACGGCATTCTGGGAATACGAGTCTTGGCCTGCCTTGAGTGTGTGTCTGTGTGTGTGTTTCTAGTTTGAGACAATGACACTCTGACTCACTCGACTGAAGTTTACACATGAACACACAGGGCTGTTCTACGCCAACAAACTGACTTGGAGAAACACCCTTTGGAACTTACCTCTCCTCCAGTTGGCTCCCTGTAAAGTGGCAACCCCTCAAGGCAACCTTTATGGTGATAACCCATGTTTTTGTTGCACTGTATAAAAATGGAAAGTCCTGAGATGCTAGAACAAGTTGGGTGGAAATTTGGCTCTTATGTCTGGCCTTGAGCAGCTCTGGGGGAAAATGTATATCTTTTCAAGCAGGAGCTTATCAGAGAGTGTCTATGTGATTTGTGAGAACGTGTTCTGCAGATGTGTTTTATTGACATTTAATAAGTTGTTAAAGGTGCACTCTGTAATATGACGCTGGTCTTGTACTTTATACTGACCTAGCCACCTCACATAAACTGTTGGTTAGTGATGTCAAATACTGATGCTCTATTTGCAGTAAGCTATTAAATATGTATTCAGCAAGTGAAAATGTTCAGTGACTGGGTTACTGAGAAAAAATGAGTAGCATTGAGCTGCTCATGTGTTCTTAACACGTCAGCCTCAGTAAGGTGACCAGCCCAATGTTTTTAGGCTACAGATTCTATTAAAAATATAGTTAAATGATGTACACTCACATGACTAAGTACCAGTTAAGGACATTTAATTTATGTGCAAACCTTTTTAATGAGGAAGGTAATGACTGCACCTCTAAAAGAATTGAGCATAGAAAGATTTTTACTTTATTTTTGTATTTTTCATGATAACATACCACATGTAGATGCAGTATTATAATGTTTTGATACTGTATTTCAAAACATGTGACATTGCTCCAATAGTAACCCATGCTAAGCTCATTCAGAGTTTCTTCAAATTAAAAAAGATCTCTGGCTAAAGTCTGAAATGCATCAAATTATATCCACAATTCGCTCCAAAATATAGAGAGAAGGCAAGTCTTTTTAGCACTGACAAGCACAGAGCCGTCCATCTGAGAGGGTCTAGTCTCTAAGGGCCACTCTAGCGGTAGGGGACAAACCAGGATGTTTAAGAGGAAGAGGACTGATCATTTTTGTCTAATTTTGACAGATTGTATCTAATCTAATTGAGTGATTATTGTATCTACAGTAATTAGATGGGTTGTGTCTTAAATGAGTAGCCCATGTGGTGGTCCTGAGACTTTGTAGCTCATTTTTGACTTGCTGAGTGGATAGATATATAGTTAAGCAGACAAAAGATTCAGGTTTTTAATCACCTGGATAAACATAGATCTGGATAGCAAAGGCTGTACTGCCCTCATATTCAGAAACTTAACAGGATTGTTTGCTGTGAAATCTTTGCTCATTTCTATTATGTAACTTCTATATTGTTTGTAATATTTCAGCATTCACTTGATTTTTCATGTATATTTGTTATTATAAATTGTTAATTTGAGCATAAAAAAAATGTTAAAATAGAGCGTTTGTGGAATGTTTTTTTAAGTCATCATTGTATTGTATCATATTGTTTTCCCCCTTACAAACAGAAACTGCGTAGATTTGATCATAAAACTAAGCTTTTAAATTTCAAGACAAAAATTTTGCTTATACTGATAAAAAGCTATCAGAACTTTTATTAACTTTTGATCATATAAATATCAGCAATTGCAGAAAATTTAATATATTTGCTGACTTTGGTCCTCTGGATAAAATTAAGTGTTTGTTTGTTTGTTTTTTCAAGTACAGTATGAGCACCATTTTCTCTTATTTCATATGCCATTAACCTAATGTATCAAATATAATACTTGACAAAGAATATTTTTTGTATATAATTATATGTAATTTATATATACTCTATTCTTTTTCTATTCTGTCTTTTTTCTTTTTATTTATTAGCCTATATGATTTTAAAAACCCTTGCTACGTGTACTGCGTTAAGCTAACTGAGACTTGTTATAGCACTTGTATATCATTGCTCTTTTGTTGATTTTGATTGCTTCCATTGTCCTCATTTGTAAGTCGCTTTGGATAAAAGCATCCACTAAATTTCTAAAATGTACATGTACATTTATATGTAATTTTTAATATATTTATATCTATATATTTTGTCTAGTTTCAATGATCTCTTCCACTGTTATTTCATATGTCAAGCTTTACAGGGTTATCACCCTTTCCCCCCTAGAGTCTACAGAAGATGAATTCATTTGTTTTGGTTACAGTGAGAGAATATAAATGGCAAATATGAAATGTTAAGTACAATTAAGTGTTTACTACGAGAAAAAATCAGGCCCGGGAAAGCTAACAAACAATTTTTTTGTTTTTATAATTAATGATTCAGGAAATTGTAAATGAAGAGTTACATTAACCATCTGTTTCAGTTGATGCTAGTTTACACTTGCCAGCTGGACATTTAATTCCACATAATGAAACATTAAAGCTTTGTAGGATTTTGCTAGAAGTTTATTTTTCTTGAGTTTGTTTATCATAGTAGTAATAACAGAACAGCGGTGTTTCTGGGCTGAAGAATTAGAACAGCATGTGCTTGTCACCGGTCTTTGGAGTCTGTTTCCTGTTTGAACCTGCCCTCATGTGGGGCCCTCTCCGGTGTCCGACGAATGTCAACATGTGCTGCTGCTGTACTACTACTGCTGAAGTTACAGGTGTCCAAGGTCATTCTCATATTAGCAAAATGCCTTTTGACACAGAAGGGAGCTGAGACGCTACACAGTAACCTCGTGTAAACAGCGGTCTCTGGAGTGTAATGCACCAGGTGATTATGAAACTGCTCACAGCGGTATCTTTACTTTGATAACAGTCCTCAAAAACTATATCCACTCATAAACATTACACATACAAAATGACACATTTTAGACATTCTTGGGATTATACTGCTGTTTGACTCATGTTAGACTCATGTCAGGCACAAACTTCAAAGCTGGAAATGTGTTTAAGAGCATAAATCAGACCTGTGTCATGCTCTTTGTGCAGTTTATGTAATTTATGTGACTATTTTCCCTTCTAGGATCAGTCTTAACCAGTTGGCTCTGGTCACTTGGCTTTGATTTTCTGTCTGCAAGACGTCTGCGCAGTTGATTAGCTTCATGGCAAAGGAAAAACATGAAATGACAGCATGTTTCCGAAAGATCCTGCACCTCTCCATGGGCAGCACGTGGAAGCATTGTGCTATGAATAGAGTTATTCCACGCATCTTGCCATGATCCAACAATAAATAATGTTCTTCCACACATCTCTCTGAAACTCTAATGGCTTTATAAATGACATCATTACCTGTTAGGGGCCCAAGTGAATTCTATGTTCCTGTCAGCAAGGACAAGCAGAGTGAGACTGATCTAATTTTCATTGAAAAGTCAGTCTCTCAAGTAGCCTGCTGTTAAGAAGTCACTCCGCTAATACAGCTCCAGCGTTTCTAGCCCTCTTTCTTGGTAGAATTGAATATGTCATTTGTTTTTCAGAGTCAGGTCAGTGTTGTACGCAGTCCCTGCATAGAGCTGACATTTTGATCTATTCGAGTAATTGAACCTCTTTCACTATGTGGAAAAAGGCTTATCGTTTGCAAGCAAACTCAATTTATCATTTTATTATTCTCAAGGCAAGGCACAATTTATCAAGCTTCTCTCTGGATTTGGTGCTGGAGCACCTGTAGAAACATGCAGCTGTAGAGCTCCCCTCTGAACCTGATGAAACTTAATGCTGATTGGCTATTTGTAAGCTTAATCTCTAAAGCTTCAGTGGAGGGCTGGAAGACATGATGATGATGATGATGATGATAGTGGTGGTGGAGGTGATAATGAGGAGATATCAGGTCAGGTTACCTAATTTTGAGGAGGCAAATATTGGCACACAGAGTTCAGTTCAGATCATTGTGTATGCTATCTGTCCTAATATGTTGTTCTCACGTATGCAGCTAACACTTTTTTTTTCTTTCTTCAGATGGACGACCACAGTGGGAGGTGGAGGCGAAGATCATCAGAGAGAAGAGTCAAGGAGTGAGTGAATACTTTCCTTTTTAAATGTCTAAGAACATATTTGCCAACAAAAGCACAGACGATACACAAGATGTAAATATGTCTACAGACCCTTTTCAGGCTTTATTTTCTTTCTTGAACTAAAAGCTGAAACGAGTGTTTGACAGGTTTGAGCACATTGTAGTATGTTTTGACTAGATTTGCACTTTGTATTCGTCAGTGGGACAAGATAGTGGTGGTGGAGGTGATAATGAGAAGATATCAGGTCAGGTTACCTAATTTTGAGGAGGCAAATATTGGCACACAGAGTTCAGTTCAGATCATTGTGTATGCTATCTGTCCTAATATGTTGTTCTCACGTATGCAGCTAACACTTTTTTTTTCTTTCTTCAGATGGACGACCACAGTGGGAGGTGGAGGCGAAGATCATCAGAGAGAAGAGTCAAGGAGTGAGTGAATACTTTCCTTTTTAAATGTCTAAGAACATATTTGCCAACAAAAGCACAGACGATACACAAGATGTAAATATGTCTACAGACCCTTTTCAGGCTTTATTTTCTTTCTTGAACTAAAAGCTGAAACGAGTGTTTGACAGGTTTGAGCACATTGTAGTATGTTTTGACTAGATTTGCACTTTGTATTCGTCAGTGGGACAACTTTGATAGGTTTGTCTCAGACATCAATGATGTGTTGTTTAGTAAAGTTATGTCTCTTGTCTCCATCTGTAGTCTAGCATCGTGGTGGAGGTGCCTCCTTATCACAGTAAGACGGTCACTTCAGTGGTGCAGGTGCAGTTCTACGTGTGCAATGGCAAACGGAAAAGGAGCCAGTCACAGCGCTTTACCTATCTTCCTGGTACGTATTTGACAGCACATTGCAATCAATTGCACATCACGGCACTTATTTCCTAAATGAAATTAGAGCTCCGTAACTGTTGTTGCTCTTGATTAAGGAGTGTCATACTTTTATGACATCATATAAATTTATATCCACTACTGTTCAAAATGTTGGGGTCTGTAAGATATTTTTTATTCCTTTAATGGTAATTACTCCAGTCTTTAGTGTCACATGATTCTTCAGAGATCATTTTAATATGCTGATATGCTGAAACTGCCCCCCACCCCCAGTATTACCCCAGGATACAATTATATATTTTTTTCAATTTCCATAAGAAAAAAAGTATATATATATATATATATATATATATATACAGTGCACAGCATAA